AGCTTTCTACTGCCTTGCTTTTTTTTTCAGGAGAAAATGGATATAATTATGTTGTGTAATAATACGGAGTATTCGGAGATATGCTCATCCAGTTACCGGAATGTGGAGCTCACTCTATATCATGGTGGGCATTTTGCATGATTTGACTTTGATGTTAAATCTAAAGCTATGAAGGCTCAAAGATTGCACCGTGTGTATCCTCGGACGAGTTTCACCGGCATTGTAGAGACTGCACCCGAACACGAGGGAACCTATGTAGGAAGTTCAAACAACTTTTCATGACCCATAGCGACAGTGAAAGGTAGCGACAGTGTAAAGTCTCGGCCCGATCTAGTCAGCTCTTTGTGCAGTTGCAACAACCGAAATCTCGTCCGAACACCCCTTCCATGTTATTTCCGTCATGCTAATCTCGTCCAAGCTCTGTTTTCCCAACTTTCAAGGAGTTTTTTTACTATAGAAATCGGCGAATTCACTTGCTTTTATCACTACCGTTTAACTAATCCCAACCTATACTTCTGCTTTTTGACTACAAAGGGGTACCTCAAAATTATCGCGAGTTATGCCTTTAAGTTTCGAGAACAGCTCAAAAACTATTACTTTACAGGCATCAAAAACCTCAAAAATCTCATTTTAGATCTAATTTTGAGTTCTGCCGTAGTAACGGAGAGAATAACCTTGAAAAGCACCTGCAACTAGCAGCGATTTTCGACCAGTCCAAAGATTGTAGTGAGTCAAATCCCCTCGAAGCGGAATAGGTAAAGTTACTCCTTGACTCAATAGCGGCTCCATAGAAGTTATTAAGAAAACTAACTCTAATGCAAGAAGAATAAGAAAATGAATTACATTAAATGTTGGCTGTAACTATTCATTTATTTTTTTATTGCATTCAGGATGCCCTATAACTGTCAAGGAACTGACCTGTGAATCATAATTATGAAGTTCATCCGAGTTAAATGATAATTTCCAGTAGTACACTCCATGAATATTTCTCCATGGTGACTACAGTTGCAACCTGAAAAAATCTTGCTAAAGAAAGGAACTTGCAAAAGAACAAATTTAAAGAGCGGATTACGCGGGAAAACTTAGTCACTGAAGGGTTTATACTGTCCGTAGAATTCCTACCTCCTCAAGCTATCGCTTATTCATTGAAGAGAAGGTTTTTGATAGGCTGATTATTTTTGAAACGCTCTTGGCTTTCAGTGATTGATTGGTGGGCAATTTTTCTATGTTCAGGGCCTCTTGGAATTGTACTGTCGATACTCGAACTGATGATGATCAGCGTTTTTTGGCTAGTGAATATTCGTGTCGATGAGAACGATTTCACGAAGGCATACGCGACCGTCCTGCTTGTGCCATTGAGTGGTTCAACAATCAGCAAATTCTGGAGCATAGTGAATTCCGTTGCTGGTGTCCCACTTGATTATAGCGCTTATGGGCAGATGTGAGTCGTTAGCATTTCGTTCGACCACTACCCTTCACCTTTGGCCCGAAATTGTATTCGACTTTTTTTTGCCTTTTTCGTGTCAGGTCCCTTACCAGAAACCACTTCGCTCTGAAATGATAGCCCTCTGCTAAAAACTTTCCGAAATTTCTCGAAAGACCGTCAACGAAGGAACGGATCCGTTGTTTTCAGAAGTTACTTCCTTGTCAATCTATACGGAGCACTTATAACTACCAGCCAGTTGTATGTGATGATTGGGACTGCAGCCCTTATGCTTCTTCTGATTATGACAGCACTACAACAGAGACGAATCGTAGAAATGGACAGAGCATGGTGAGCCCCAAAGCAGTGAAATGAAGTATGTAAGCAGTGATTCGGTACTTCCGAAGCGAAAAAAATTGCTAGCTCCTCACCAGTAAGTGCGATCTTACGTCATACTTCTGCAAGTCATCAGATCACACCTGCTTTAGACCAACTAAATTTAGCTTTTTTAGGATTACTGACTTGAATGCACGGTTTGCAATAATTCCGTGAAAATATATTGGCTTAAAAGGCAACGAGTACAACTGCGTAAGCAATGAGCTACAGTAATCCTTGCCAGATAGGAGCTAAGGATTCTTCATCCGATCAAGAATGGGGCAGATCACTCTCGCCATGATTTGGTGATTTTCCGCCGGAACACGAATCTCTGCCTCCGAAACCTTTGGAATTCCCGGAACTGTGCCTTTGAAATCAAATATCTGATGTAGAGACACCACAGGGAACTACTATCTGAGCTTCGTTTTCCATAACGGGTATGCTGATGAATGGTTAGAAAAGTTATAAGTGGAAAGCTATTTTTCGGTGGCTTTTTACCAGGTTAAGGACAACATCTCTAGGTTGTGTGGGCGTAGACAAGGGTTCCGTTCCCACACCCCGTCTTCCCGTAGACAATCTCTCGTTTTGTTGGTTTCTTCCCTCTGAGATTTCGGGTATCGGTTAAGGGATAATCCTCTTGGAAGATAGCTGCTCTCGTGGGTTGACCCAGATGTTTACTTAGAAAGAAAAGTGTTCATAGAAGAAATTGTTTTGTTAAAGCTATTCTCTGAAAGTTGCGATGAACCTTTTGCGTTTGGATTTTTTTCGGATTTTCAGGCTCGCTTTTGCAACCATTCTGATTACGACACTGACACTGGGGTCGCTGAATTACTTTATGGATCCTGCATACCGTGGCATTCCAAAATTCATGATCGCTTTGGTCGTTATTTGCACTTCTGCGGTTCTGGTCGTCCTCCTTGTTACTGTGAGTTTTTATGGTCTTTCCTTCTGGTGTTCTTGTGCAGTTGCGCTCAGAACTTCTATTTACATTGAAGAGTTGATGTTAGCGCATCACCTGAGGTAATACTTCCTGATGTTCGGGTGGAGAGGTGAGGTTAGGGGAGGTGGTCCCACAGCAACCACATCGTGTGCGATAGGCGCCTTCGCTTGTTCACTGGTTGAGAGGCATTTCGATCGATAGAGGTAGCCGCGCACATTGACCTGGCCGACGCCTCACTTGTGACGGCGCATCCTGACCCACACCTTATTACTCGAAATTTGCTCAGACATTGATTCATTTTGCGCGATTTGGCATGATCTGCTTATCCTGGCCAGCTTATACGTATAGCTAGCTCATAAGTTTTAAAAGGAAAAAATCAGCTTGCTCACTTAGAAGTTGTTTTCACGGTTGACACTTTCAGGATTTGCTGGCCATTTATTTCTCACCAAGAAAATGCTCTTCGAAGGACGTCGTACTGGCAGATGCTTGGTACCGATTGGTTTTTGCTTCAGCCGCATCCTCCATTGCATTGTTTCCGTGCTGCTATTCCCTCTGTGAGTTCATGATCGAGAGAATAACAGAACAAGGAATTTTTCACGAGAATAGTTCCTGTTGTTATGTGTGCCATATGGTCAGAGTGCGGTATCCCTGAAAAACTGCAAACAAAACGCCTGGGAGCAATGGAGGTCGTTGAGTAAGGTTCATCGTGAGATTTGACGCACAGTCCTGCCGCTTTTCGCAGAATTTAGCAAAGTATGAACCCGTCTGTTGCTAGCCCACCCCAGTTATAGTGTCCGTAACCCTTCCTATTTCCATTATTTTCTGGGTTTTCAGCAATTTTCCACCATTCCAGGGCATGTTTCGATACATTTTCTCACTCGTGGAACCACATTCGACGATGACGTCCGTGCTGAATGGTTGTGGCGCATTCTACAATTCTTCACGGGGCTGATTATTCTTCCAACAATCTTTGCTTTCAGACCTTACACCTATGCTTGTGCCCTCATGCTTAATATAAGGAAAATTGAAAAGAAAACGTCGATAGCACCTACAAATTTGATCCAAGCACCACAATTAACGTATGCTCCTGTGCCTCCTTTTGCAAAAGTGCGTAATCCAGAACATTGACTTGAACTGTTCATTTGTCACCCAGGTGTCCATTTCATCTCCCATACCCTCAAAGACCTGGGAGACTTGAATTTCGNCGTCGATAGCACCTACAAATTTGATCCAAGCACCACAATTAACGTATGCTCCTGTGCCTCCTTTCGCAAAAGTGCGTAATCCAGAACATTGACTCGAACTGTTCAATTGAACCACCCTGTTGTACATTTCATCTCCCATACCCTCAAAGACCTGGGAGACTTGAATTTCGAATGGCTGACAAATATGCTTATTCATCTGACGATTTTTTGGAACAGCATTCCTGGGGAAGTAAATTGCATAACCAGTCAACAACCAATTGAAAAACCTTCCCGAGTGTCGGGCTGGAACAAGTCAGTGGGCCCAATTTCAGCTCTTCTACGTGCTCTCTAGCCGAGACAGTGCAAAATCACCAATAATCATGCCCGGAAATAATTACAGGCTGGGTATTGTAATAGTAATCACTCGTAAACTCGACAGTATAGAAAGAGCAGCGCTTAACACATTTAATTTTGACATGACGCATTAAACAACAATATCGATCGCTGCACACGCGTGGCTCATGCGTCACGGCAGCGGAAGTGATCGATGTGCGGTATTCAACCACCGCTACCTTGGGCGCGATCATTCCTCTTCGCAAATCGGGTCTCTGAAGACCGGGAGCGACGATCTATGATTAGTTTTAACGCTATCAGACTCTTAAAGTTTTTGCTGATACTGATGTTCCTCTAGCCTGTCCCAGGTATTTCCAGTTGAATACGCATTCTAACTAAGTAAAACAGTCTGGAGCAAAGTTTATTCAATCATCGGCATACACCGTAATTCCGCTCTATCATAATATTCTGAGAAAGACAGTCCGCTATCAGAATCCGTCCCCCTTAATCCGCTCGCTGTCGCCCTTTTAGAATCCTTGCCCTCAAGTATTCCTGTCTATCACTCTATTCCCCTATGTGGTCGGTCGCTCTCGTTCCTCCAACTCCTTCGTTTGTTCGTTCTCAGAATCCACGGCACAACTGGTTCTTGATACCTTTTCACCCATATAAAGAGAACATCATGGGGATTAGGCTCGCTGTAGGTAGGGAATTTGGTGGAGTGGAGGCGTAGAGTGAAGGTGGAATAGAAGGGGAGGGGGCAGTAATGAACTGATATTAAGATTGGTTGTGATATTGAATTACTATTATGTACTTCATAATCAACTTCTGGCTGGCTATTCACACCCACTGCCTCATTTCTTTCGCCCTCCACTCCTTCTCGAGTCCTCGCGTCACCCCGAAGTGGTTGTACCCTGCATGTCGGGAACCTTCTAGAATAGTCCCCATTTGACGGAGGGATGACGTATAACAACGGGACTTTGATTTTTGAGGGTGAAAGGGTACCATTGCAGTAAATTTTCACCTAAGTGACTGAATACGTACATACTGCGAACACGTAACAGTCCTTTGTTTTACCATTGTTGAAACTGTGTTGAATTCAAGAAGTCTGTGTTTACGTTCATTGCATGCATATTGATTACCATTCAGTGTCTGTGAAAATGTAATCGATAAATTTGTTCTGTTGTGTAACAACGATGTGAACTCTGCATGTTATTTGAATACACCTACAAAACAGTAACTGGCACTATTTACCCTTGACTGCCCCACCTTGCCGAGAATGGGCTGGATTTCTACCGAATTTTTTCAAAAAAGATGCAACCGGCTAGAAACTTGCCTACAGGGGTAATTTGATCCGTACAACACGAATATTGCATCCATTTGTA